TATATATATATATAATTATTAATAATAAAAATAATAAAAATTAAAAAACAAACACAGTTTTTCTATGCTAACACAACTTGCCTTTTCCTTTTGAAAGGTACAGTTTAAAGCTACAAAGAGGCTGACAGAGGAAATCTGCATATGCTTGTTCCTTACGTTAAAGAGGAGACAAGATAAACCACCACAGGCATCCTCCTCTTAAATTCAGAGAGGCCAGCTATAGGTCCCGAAATGAAAAATGATCCATTTAAACCTGCAAAACTGTTGAGAGCATCACATACGGTACCTCAGCATCTTTGCAGGCTACTTCTCTGTTTAAGATGAGAACAATTGCAGCAATCAACACTTTCACTCAAATTAAATGCAACCTTGACTCTCCTGGCATACCACACACACTAGAAATTTGTCTGGGGCCTATAGTTGTTCTGGGGATTTTACCTCTACATCAGACACTTTCATGCGAGTGCCCTCTTTTCCCACAAATATATCATCAATGTCGACGAGGACATAGCGATCAAGTGTGAGACAGAGGCGCTTGCCAGTCAAGTAGGCAATGGCATCCACGAAAATGAGTTTGTGCAGCCAAAAATTGAGGTTATTGCCAAAGAGAACGCGCTGGATCCCGTCATGCAGACCCAGGTCCTGCACCACTGTGGCATGCAATGCTTTGTGGGTGGCCAGGTGAGGAATGGACTCCGAGGACTTCGTGCTGGCTAACAGCACTGGCTCGTAGGTGCTGTGGTTTGACTGGAACACAGTCCAGTCATCACCAGGCAGGGGACCCTGCTCCATCTCATTGGCCCGGGTGACATAGAGCAGGGGAGCACTGGGGTTGATGTGATAGTCCCGCAGCCCCAAGTTGGAATGTAGAAAAAGGGGGAAACCCTTGAGCTGTGCACTGAGTAGGCTGTTCTCGTTGGCTTTGAAAAAGCCTATAATCCCCACTCCATACTCTACACAGTATTTGTCCAGCAGCTCTCGGTTCCAAGCGTCTAGGTTCACATATTTAAGGATGTTCTCATAGATAATAAGAGCGTAGCGTCCCCTGTCTTTGTCTGTCAGCGTGGGCATATCCCCTTTGCCAGGAGCAATCTCTGTCCTATATTTAAACCGGCTAGATTCCAGGATGGCCACTATTTCCTGCCCCAGCTGCGAGTAAATACTTTCCACAAAGACTAGCACCACAGGATCTGTGCGTGAGGTGTCCACAGATTTTGTGAGCCTCCAGCTGGCTTGCGGTGGGATCAAAATGCGGTGCTGGTTGCTGCAGTCACTGAAGGGCAGGGGTGGTGGCTCCTTGATTTTGGGACTGTTAGTGACGTAGTAAGCCAAGATGCACATGGAGATCAGGCTGAAGGCAATGAGCAGCAGGATCAATCTGTGGAGCTCTAGCTGTCGCACGTGCCGCACCACTTTCCACAACTGAATCATGGTGAGGCGGGCTGCCCACCCCCTCCTCACACTCTGCACCCACGTCGCTCTTGAAATCTCCAGTGCCGCCGTGGCAGTACCCAGCAGCAGCTCGCAAAAAAGAAAGAGCAGCTGCGGAGAGAAACAAAGCTAAAGCAAACAGCTACAAGGCTAGACTCCCAGGGATCTGCCATTTATCTCAAGTAACCATGGCCCTCAATTCCCATCGCTCTTTTGTGTGCTTCCTCCTGTTCTTCTCCTCTCACTCGGTAGTCTTTTGGAGGAGCGGGGTTTCCTGAATCTCGTCTCCAACAGCAAATCAGTCTGTCATCCTGTGCACAAGCAGTTTCAGCTCAACCTTCCCAGGTGCCCCGTTTCTCATTTGGCTGTTTCGCATTCACATGATGGCACCTTCTCTTTGCATCCTGCAATTTAAAAAGAAAAAGTCAATTCTCAGTATGGATTCATGGTATTTAATGGGTTTGAGATGAAATGGCAGATCAGCAGGTGCTAGGTGGGCAGCATCACTTGCCTGTCAGCAGGCAGACCTGCTCCCTGGGAAGTGACGCGTGCCATTTGTGTGGGAGCTTGGCAGAGCCACTGTAACGGCCTTTGGAAGAAAGGTCCTGACAGTGCACAGGGACTCAGCATTCATCTTGGGCGAGATTCTCACACACTACAGCAAACAGAGCCGGTGTACCTGGCCTTCCCCCACTCCTCTTTTATGCCACTGATGAGAAAACATGAACCCCTTTTATTCTACCCTACATTTCAAAGTTAACAAGAAGAGGAGAGAGTCCTCACATTCTCTGTCTCGTCCTGTTCTCATACTAATAATGATGTGTCAAAGTCCCTACCAGTGACTTCCTAGGCCCTCGGGATATGGCTGTCCCGAAGCCAGCAGGATGTCTCGAATTCCCACCAGCTCTCTCACCCTACAGCTCCCGATTTCCACAGTTCCCACCCCTCTCTACAAGGCTGCCCCATTTGTCCTGGGAACTCATGTTCTTTCAGGGCTCTCAAGACACGGCTCTGGAGAGGCATCATCCCTCAGGCATCACGGAACAGGGGGCACAGGCTGCCCACACACTGCACACCTAATTGCTGCCAATTGATTCAGCAGCAGTTGGATAGGAAATAGGTCCTGAAATCTTCCGCAGCTTCCCTCATACGCCACTGAAAAGCATGAAGCCAGGTTTAAATCACCAACAGCACAACGTAAATTTGGGTTGGTCTCAAACACGTGAAAGCTTGTTACGAAGCGCTCTCACCTCCTGCTTTGTGTTTATGACAGCAGACTATTTCACCATATGTTGTTATTTTTCCAGGATAAAATGCTCAACAAAGCCAACAAACACCAAGCCATCTAAAACATAAACATCAGAGAAAGTAACTAAATTTCTCCTTGGTTTAAAAATAAAATCACTGTGTAGTTTTACCTCCCTTAAAAGAAGTATGACTTACCTACAGCAAGAACACACAGATTTTTGGGGAGCACCTGCTACCCCTCCCAGCACACTGCAAGGACACCCTGAATACCAGATGTTGCTCACCAAGTCAGCCATGCCCAAAATGAGCTCTCTGTAAAAGTTAAAAACAACTTTTTTCTCTCAAAATCTTTCTTCTTTACACACCCACCCTCCTGCAGACGTGCTCTACCACATACAATCCCTCTAACCACCTGCTCAACTGGCACAGCTTGCAACACCAGGAGGCACAAGAGCAACAATAACAGAAAGTACTACCAAAACAGTTGTTCATCCTTTCTTCTCCATTCCTCCCATTTTTGAGCCTTTTTGTTACTATCATTCCAATAAAACAAAGAATATTGGAAAACTACTTTGTCCATGAGTTTAATACAGATACAAGGTTTTTATGTAGTAAAGTCAGGGTTTTAACAACTAGCTCCACCAGAAAAGAAACTACGTGAGACAGATGCTTATTTTGCTCCACCAGAAATTACTTGCGAGACAGATGCTTATTTTGTAATGTGTATTACTAAACAGAAAAAAATCCTTCTGAGTCAGGGAAAATACCAGTTCACAGATGAGGCCAAAAGTCCCACTCTAAAGACTCCCACCAGGCTGTTTTCCAAACTGCTAGTGCAGCTTGAAGCAGAGACAAAAAAACCCCAAGCAGATTTTATATGAAAAGATAGAATATTGCTAACTTTGTGACAGCGGATGGAAAGGAGTCAGAGTGCTCTTTACACAAGCCTTACAATGATCATTAAGTATCATCTCAAATAACTTCTATGCTATAAGCTCAGCAGTGCAGAGACTGGCTTGCGTAGTGCACAATGAAACCTTAGCCCCGATGAGGTCTTCAGAACAGCTGTAGGCTGTGAATGTAAAGTATACTACAGAAATAATTTTCCACTGGAGAAACAGAGACACAGCAAATCTTATTGAAGATCACACCGCAAGGCAGCAGATGAATCAAGATTTAAAACAAAAATAAAATGAAAATCTCTGTTCCCCAGACTCCAAATGGATCGAGTCTCCATTCCCAAATGGCCCTCTGCAATGACAGAGCGGGCTTTGGAAATCCAGCTCAGCCAGCAACAGTAAGCTGTGTTTTCTTCAACACAGACAACCGATGAGCTTTCAGTTTTGTCTCTACGTACTGCTCACTTTTTATTGGAAAAAGGACAAGGGAGAGAAGGGGAGCAATTACTATGGGAAGATGTGAAAAACAGAATTCTGATAGTTTTTTCCCTTTTTTGTTACTGAAGTGACAACTGACTTTGAATGCATGACTCTCTGGACTGAGTGCAGGATACAGCTTCTAATTCCAGTTCAAGTCAAGTTCAGTCCCACTGGGACTGCCAATGTATCAGTGTAGTACCCAAAAACATGTGCCACCTTTCAAAAACAAGCAGGAAGATAACCTTTCCACCTCCACAATGAGCCTTTCCCATCCCACTGACTCTGCAAGGAAGACCCCAATGTTACCATCCTCGCACTTGGCATTAGAGTTCCACAGTTGCATTGAACTGCAGAGAGGCAGGAGCCAGTGGAGGCAGAACTCAGCAGGGCAGAGAGAGGTTAGAGAAAAACATATAATAAATGCTGTATCTTTTTTATGAGGTGAATTCCTGGTATGATACAATATATACACAGCTCCATGCATACTAGCTGGTATGAGAGGCAGTCTTCATTCTATTCCTGTGCAACAAATTCCTACAGAACATTCCACTCAGACTCCTACATACTTGATTTTGACTGAGAAGACTTGAGAACTGCAAGCCAGTGTCTTCCCAAATAGCTCATATTCTTCTGCTTTTTAATCCCATTGGATAAAATAGAATAATTAGACTATTTGGGATTCAAAGATTCACTATCTTTACATGTATTAGACAAAATGTTTTTGCAGGAGAAAATATTGTAAAGAGAGACTTAGCAGCTCAGGAGTCCATGTGTTGCCTGCAGAAATTTCCAAGCAAGTGTTTCTTGGGTAGAATTTGTAATCTAAACACCACAGTAACAGTAAGAAAACTATGCCGATCTGTGCAAAAGCCTGGCAAAGTACTGTCCTACTTTTATGACTCTTGACCCCCAAAACATCAACCTGGAAAACACCTCCCTGGTTACACTCACTCACCTCTCCAACTTCATTTTTAGTGTTGAACCGAGTCTGTATTTTGCAAAGAGCTGTAGCTTCAGTTTCCTGGTCTTCAGTTTAAAGATGAAAATCACAAGACAACTGGATTATTCTGTAGAATAAGGATGAAACCAGAATTTAAGCTGGGCTGCCACACCTGCAGTGCCCAGCTGAGGGGTAAGAGGGAGAGGAACCCCCTTTGCTGGGTGCTTCTGAATTACGGCAGTGTTTTGATAACAATGACTCCATTCAAGCCTCTAGCGAAGCTCCCAAACAAGCCCCCATTTGTTACATGAGTGAGCTCAAAAAAACAAATTTAAAAAAAAAAAAAGGCCTGTATCAGATTGCTGCTCAAGAATCTGTCAGCTCCGATCTCTTTAACAAGGCTTCACAGCCAGAGGGCATGCCAGCTGGCATGGTATGCATTTAGCTCTTTGGGGACCACATCAGCTGGTTTAGGTTCAAATGGAAAGAAAAAAAGCAGCAAAACAAATATACCAACCAAAATCTATATTAAAAGGTGAGAGCTGTCAGAAACCACCCATACCCAGAACACAAAGCCCAGAAGGATCTCTACTGGAGAAAGAAAATAAAATTAAAAAAAAAAAAAAAAATCACATTGAAAATTGCTCCCTCTTAAAGGAAAATACCTGTATCATCTTTTGAGATCAAACTCCTTGGAATCTGACACCACAAAAACCCCCAAGTTTACAGATAAATTCAGGTCCATTCCAAACTCGCCAGGACTGCCTGAGTGTGAATTGCAGGAGGCGGCAGTCAGAACGCACAGCAAGGATGAAGTGTTTCACCGGTGCAAGGACGCAGGCTCAGCAGGCTCCCCTCCTGTCAGAAGAGCATCGCTAGATCAGAGACCATGAGCTGTTTGGTCAGCTATCTCACAAATCACCAGAATCAAGACAAACGCTTCATAAGACTTAAGATGTTCTGTTTCCTAGTGATATACAGCGTTAACGTAAAACATAAACCGTTTTGTGAATTATCAGCTGCTAAGCCACATGGCAACTGATGGGATATGAAAGCAAGATAGTAATCAGAATTGTGTGGTTTTAATGTCTGATCTCCAGATATTTCCAACGCTTGGAAATTGTTGGGGGGGATCAAGTATAAACGCTGAAGACCAGCACTTGTCCAAAACCAGCGACCAGAATATATGTATTTGAGGCTGCTGGTACATTCATACCAAGGCACGTGGAAGATAATGGTTGTCATTTGACACCTTTATCAAGAACTTCTGTCATACAAGCTCCTTCCTAGCTGAGCCACAGAAGGTCTTACTGCCCTAAAAGCCAGTGTCACGAGTACATTTCCCCAGCACTTTTCATTATTCATAATATAAACCATCTTTCTGGGATGCACAGAAACAGGATCTTGCCTTTGTCCACAACAGCTCTAATTCAGAGGTCTGTCTTTGGCACTTCCTGCAAGACGGTTGTTGTCTTGGGCCCCAGAGGGACTGCAGTAATTGAGTTACACAGTAATCAGAGGAGGAATCTGATTGATTTTCCAACCCATTCCACTTTAATGGTGTCATCATGACACAAAACTCCTCGTTTGTCTGCTTGATTGTGAGACACTGCAGCCCCTCCCTTGTCTGTGGGTGGTATCCGTATGCCAGGCCTCCAGGTACTCTCTTGTGAAGGTGGGGAACCTGGCAAGTAAGGTCAGCGGAGCACAGTGGCCAAAGAAGTTCTTTTGCACATGGCGAAAGCACTAGCAGACCCTCAGGAGAATGAACGCTGTTTCTACCCCACATATTGGATAAAAAAAAGTACTGTGGAAATTGCAGCCACATTGTAA